TGAATACTGAAAACGTTATTAAATATGTGACTGAAAATTATCCAGGCATTTTCAGTTCCTCACATTTTTTTCTTTTTTCCTTTTTTTTTGAAAATAGATTTTTTTCTCACATAATACATCCTGATTACAGTTTCCACTTCCAGTCCCTCCCTCTTCTTTCCCATCTGGATGTACCCCCTTTCTATCTCATTAGAAAATAAACAGGCTTCTAAGAGATAATAATAAAATATAATAAGATAAAACAAAAACTAACATCAGAATTGAACAAAAGAAGGAAGAAGAGCCCCAGAGAAACAAGAAATAGAAACACTCATTTGTGCTCTCAGAAATCCCATCAGTACATTAAATTGGAAGCCAGGCATAACCTATGTGTAAAGGGCCTGTAGGTAAAAAAAGAGAAGGAAATAAAATAAAATAAGAGTAAAAATAAGATGAAATTAAAAACAAAAAGAAAAAAAAGAAAAACATTGTCATGGCATTGTAAACAATCTCCAAAGAGGCCATTCATTTTTTGTTGGTCATCTACTGCTGGGCATGCATACCCATACGAACAGTTTGTTTCCCTAGTGAGACTCCCTTGGAGAAAGATAAAATTTCTTTGCAAATGGTTATGAAACAGGGACCTGGATGGATGCAAGATTGGAAATCTCCTCCTCAGGCCTTTGCTTTCTGATGTGGAAAACTACAAGCCTGTTAAGTTTCAAACCAGTGACAAGAGATGCCTGCTTAACAGATCAAAGTGGATCTGGCCTCCAGATTCTCCCAGCATCCCTTACTCTTTACCTGTTACAGGTTATGGTTTGCATACCTTCTACCCTGAACTTTCTAGCCCAGGGGCTGGGCTGTCCTTCCCTCACCAGCTCTTCCCTACATAATCCAGACATTTGGTGACCTACCCTCCTTTTGGCTTCTTTTGTAATTTTGGCCTTCCCCCTAACCCCCATCTCTTCACATGGTTCAGGGTCATGACCACTCTGGACTCCCAGATGTGCCTGCTTCTGTTCTCTCTCACATATCTATAATAAACTTCCTCCTCCAGGATACCAGGAGCAGTCATGTCCTTTCCTTTTTATTTCTTTTTTTTTTCATTCAAAAACATGTATTGCAAAACTGAGAAAGCAACCAGGGGAGGAACACTTTGTATGTATACTATCATGTCATCTGCAAAAAAAGATGCTTTGATTTCTTCCTTTCCAATTGTATTTCATTGATCTCCTTCAGTTATTGCTCTAGGTAAGCTTTAAAATGCTTTATTGAATAGGTACAGAGAGAGTGAACAACCTTGTCTTGTTTCTGATTTTTGTGGGATTGCTGTTGGAGTATACTGTGTAAAAGGAATGTCTCTGTATATTCAGTTGTTAATTCTGTACCATCAGAGAGCACCAGCCTCATATTTTGTAAATATTCGTTCTTCCTTACCTGCCTAAGGCAATCTAGAATTGTATCTGATTGTCTGTAATAAAGAGCTGACAGTCAATAGCTGGGCAGGAAATGGAGGGCAGATCTTCTGGGCAGAGAGAGGGACACTGAGAAAAGAAGTGAGACTAGGGAATTTAGCCAGGGGACATGGAGGTGAATGGAGGGAGGTGAACAGAAGGAGGGACCAGAGTGGAGCAGAGGGGGAGAGCTGGCTTTGGTGGGATATAGTGCCAGGATTAGTCAGGTTAGAGTAGCTGGGAGACGGCCTAGCTGAAAGGCCTAAGCTTTAAAATATTAAAAAGTCTCAGTGTTATTATTTATTTTGCTGGCGGGTCCAAAGTAGTCATGCTATAGATTGCTTTGAATTTATCTCCGTTTATGTTGATGCTGGCTATGGTTTTGCTGTAAACTGTCTTTATTATGTTTAGATGTGTCCTTTGTATCCCTAATCTCTCTAGGACTTCTATCATGAAGGGGTGTTAAATTTAGTTTATTTATACAGTGGATTACATTTATTGATTTTTGTATACTGAACCATCCTTGTGTCTCTGGGATGAAGCCTCCTTAATTATGGTGAATGATTTTTTGATGTGTTCTTGGATTCAGTTTGCAAGTTTTTATTGAAAATTTTTGCATCTATGTTCATAAGAGAAATTGGTCTGTAATTCTTGTCCTTTGTATGTCTTTATGGGTAACTGTGGCCTCATAAAATGAATTGGGCAATGCTTCTATTTTGTGGAATAATTTGAGGAAGAATGGCTCAACTATTCTTTCAAAGTCTGGTAGGATTCTGTACCCAAACCCTGGGCATTTTTTGGGTTAGAGACTTTAATTACTGCTTAATTTCCACTAGGGTTATACGTTTGTTTCAGTAGCTTATCTGATCTGGATTTGAGTTTGGTGAGTGGTTTCTAGCAAGAAAATTATCTATTTCTTTTACCTTTTCCAGTTTGGTGGAGTGTAGGTTTTTAAAGTACGTCCTTGTGGTTCTCTGGATTTCCTCAGTGTCTGTTGTTATGTCCCCCTTTTCAATTCAAATTTTGTTAATTTAAATACTTTCTCTCTGCCTTTTAATTTGGATAAAGGTTTATCAATCTTATTGATTTTTTTTCAAAGAACCAATTTTTGTTTCATTGATTCTCTGTATTGTACTGATTTCCACCCTGAGTTGGATTATTTATTACCATGTGCTCCTTTTGGGTGTAATTTCTTCTTTTTGTTCTAGAGTTTTTAGATGTGTGGCTAAGTAATTAGTTTGAGATGTCTCCAATTTCTTTTACGTGTATGTACTTAGTGTTATGTGTTGAGTGGATTCTCTCAATTCTAAGAGTAGAATATCCCAAGGGTAATGAAATTTAAGACAGCCATTTTTAAAAACACCTTAGGTTTGTTCCCCCTCCCCATCACCTGCCATTCATTGTTTTTTGAGACAATGTCTTTCTCTGGCCTGGAGCTCACAACTAGGTAAATCTGGCTGGCCAGTTAACCCAAGGATTCACCTGTTTCTACTCTTCCAGTTCTGGAATTACTGGTATGTGTCGCTGTGTTGGATTATTATTATTTTTTTAAGTCTGTTCTGGGTCTTGAACTCAGGTCCTCATATTTGTGGAGGAAGCACTTTGCTGGCTGAGCTATCTCCTAGGCTCTGATTTATTTTTTTTTAAGTGTCTGGATAAAGGCAAGAGTAATGGCAGAAGTTATAGAGAAAAAAACTTGTCCTGTATAATAACTTTTTAACAGAGTTGGTACCATTCAGTCATGGAAGATACCACCTTGGGAGTATATAGAAAAACTGAGCAAATTAAAATGACCAGTGATCACTAACAAAAAGCTGTTCCATGTTATGTATCCTATGGTGGCCTTATCTAATGCACCTTTCTGATTATATAATAGTCTGTGATTCTCATTGTCTTACAGCTATTGTCCAGCTGTGTAAATTAGAGACAATCAATAGTAACCAAAGTGCTTCTATTCATGGAGTTGAAAAGAACCTTGTCTACAGAAGCAGTTTCTTCTCCCACCTCCTCAGAGCTAGTTTTGTATCAGGTAATCTATTCATTCCAGCATTCCTGCTGTTTGTCTGTGGATCTGAATGAATTTAACCTCTTACTGGCTGCTTCATTAATAAACTAAAAAGTTAAAATATATTCATTTTATATTTTCACGAAAGCCACAATTTTTCCGTTGAAATAAATTATATTCTTTAAAATAATTTTCTGGGACTTAAAATTTTTTTTTTTACTTGTATGAATGTTCTTTGCCTGCAAATGTCTGTACACCATATGTGTGCAACCTCTGCAGAGCCCAGAAGAGAGCGTTGCATCCCCTGGATCTGTGTGTCACCATGTGGATGCTGGGAATTGAACCCAGGTCCTCCAGTCGGTGTTCTTAACCTCAGGGCCATTTTTTGCAGCTTAAAAGCAATCACATCTTAATTGGAATCCTTTGTTCTTACTTCGAAATGAATCCATTCTCCTTTCTCACTTCTGTCCAGATTTCAGATGTCTAACACTTCAAGAGTTTTTCACTGTAACCCCTCTTACTGGAGAGCTTGAAAGAGGAGAATGGTAAGTTCAAAGCTTGCCTGGGCAATTTAGGGAGATTATGTCTGAAAGTAAGAAGAAAACCAAAGGGCTAATGCTAGAGAATGAGCTCAGTGTTGGAATGTTTCCCAAGGGTTTGCTGTGTGGGAGGGTCAAGCCCTAGTCTTAGGGTTTACGATCACCAGGGGGCGTGGAAACTTTCCGCTGTCCTCGCAGGGCCAGCATCAGGACAGGAGCTGGAGGTCAGAGAGAGGATTAGAGTTGAGAACCACAGGGTTGGCTCTAACAGCTCAAGCCCTGCCTTACTTGGCTATCTTTATGACAGTGGAGGAAGTCAATAGGGGCATGCACATCGCAGAGGGTAAAGTCCGGTTATAATTAAGAAAGTATCGATGGCCTTTAAAATTGAACGCAAAGCCGAGGATACTTCTCGAATTTGAGACCAATTCTTCGCTAGTTCCAATTGTTGACCACTACATTTGTTACCCAAAATCAAATAGGGAGGGGAAGGGAATAGGGGCACAGTTGAAGAGGGAAGGGCAGTGAGAGGAACCACACTTTTCTATAAATTCTTCAAACCCCGGGGCTCTTTACAGCAAGGAGAGAGTTTGGCTTAAGTTTTCCAAACCAAATGTCTTTATCCTACAACCCTGCCAGGTAGTTACAAGTCAGTTACTTCTTTTCTCGTACAGGTTTCGCAGCAAATTGCTAAGCAGTTTCTGATGTATATAGCTATGGAAACGGAGTCCTCTAGATTTTCTTGTTACTCAAATTGTTAGTAAAAGGTGACTGAAGCACCTACATGTTTTCGAGAGGCTCCAAAGTCACTAGCATCATAATCCCCAAATTCCTTGCCTCAACCCGATCCAGGGCATCTCATCTTCAGTTCCCCACCGGACCAGGTCTCTGAGCCCGGACAGCACAGATTCTATGCAGGTCCCTTCTTTAAGGCGGAATATCTCTTGAGCATCTTTGGAACATTTTCCTTTATCAAAGGGAGCAGGAACCAACTTGTCTTCAACCTGACGAGTCCGCAGAGGGCCGGGCAATAAGAACTGTGAGGAAAATACAGAATTGAAGCTAGATAGATCCCCTCTCTTTTTCTCTGCATTTTGTGGGGGGTTAGAGGGGGGAGACCTCCAATGCTTCCGGAGTTGGAGAGTGCGCTGGCCCTTTAAGCAGGAGCGCGGGGCGCGGCACAGGTACGGGGCGGGTCCAGGGGCGGGCGAGCCCTGAGCCGGCGCGGTCTCGAAGCCGGATTTGGAGCGCGGCGCCGGCGGGGGCCGGAGGGGGCGGCGCGGCGGACCTCGGTGGCCTCGGACGCTCCTCCTCGAGAGCGGCCGCCGCCCGCCTCCGCCCGCGCTAGCAGCTCTCTCGCCAGGACCGGCACCCCCGCCGCCGCTCCAGGCCGCTCACTTGGGACGCGCTCACCTGAGACAAGGCGCCCGCCGCCCTCACCTGGGCCAGGATGAAGGACCGGCTGGAGCAGCTGAAGGCCGTGAGTCCGCGGCGTTTGGGGATCAGGCGGGTCCGGGGCTGCGGGGATCGGCCGTCAGAAGTGGCGTGGGAGAGGGGCTTCTCTCCTAGCTCCCCTAACCCAGGCCACAGGGGTGCTCTGCGCCCTAGGCCTCACTCCCCCGAGCCCCCGCCTCATCCCGCGGAGCTTTGCACCCTCCCCTCCCCTGCAGGGTCATGTGCTCGGTGATTCATCACCTAGCTGCGATTTCCCTGGACGTCCGTAACCCTCTTACCCCTGCTCCCCCAAAGCTGGACAGGGTTCTTGCAGAGCTGGACCCACTCGGGTACTGGAAATCAGAGGGTCTAATGGAGAAGTCAGGGGGCTCACCTCACCAGCTGTCTTCTGCCGCCAGGCACTGTGCCCCAAACTGGCCTCCTCTCCTTTTTCTATTTCCCTCGTAGCACCGGGCTGGGCTACTCCATCCCCAGAGTAGCTGAGAGTTCCGGGTGACTTCCGGAGCGGTGAGCCTGTTAGGTGCTGGGATGGACACCCCTCCTCCCATTCAGTGGTCTGTAATTATTTTGTCTTGTACCTCCTGAGACAGCTGTGGTCGTCTGTGGCACAAAAGCTGAAAAGCTTAGGTCACTTACTTGTTTGAGCCTATTTCCTTGTCGGTTAAGGGAGAATCTTCCTTCCTTATACGTCTGTTATGAAGATTGAATGACACAACGGGACTTGATATAGGGAAGTGCTGAAGCATCAATTTTTTGAGATAGAGATTAAGCTAATAAGTCACTGAGTACATTCTAGGGGGCAGGGCTAGTGTGAAACTTTGAGAACCCACCCAGTGATTCAGGCTACCACTTAATGGGATGTAAAGTGCAGCCCTGGATACTCACAGTGGAGTCGGCCTCCTAGCTAGCTAGCTAGCTGGCCTAGAAGCACGTCAGTTTAAGCCTCAGACTAGACCTGGTGAAGGTCTCACCGAGTCTTTCCAGGCGATTAATGAGCTCCTTACAGTAGGGAAGTATTAGTCTGCATTAGCACTGGGGCTTTGCCCTGGGCCTACTGCTTACTGGTTACCCTTTAAACTCCCAGCTTAAGTTTTGTTATCTGTAAAATAAGTAGTTGTGCAAACTAAAAGCAAGTGAGGTACAGAAGAGCCCCTTTGTATGACACCTAGGACTTATGCTAATAACTGTTTTTGTTTTTTGCTTTTTTTTTTTTTGAAATAGAAATGTTGGTGACAGTGTGTTGGTGTTGTAATTATTTTACTTACTTTCTCCTCCTTTGCATGGATGAGATCTTCCTCACCCGGTTTTCACGCTTTGGGACCTGGGCTGTAGAGTAGTAGGTTTGGGAGATGGAGAAACGAGAGAAGGAAGGGATAGTTGCTTATTGTGGGATCCAGCCTCTGCCCAAAGTTTGCTTTCTCACATTTGAGCCTCAGGGCATCCTGGTTAACTGAAGGGCAAACTTTACTTGGCACTCTTTTGTAGTTGAGGAACCTGGTGGAGCTCACTCTGATGGGAGGGATGCCCCCTGTCAAGAAGAGTTCAAATCTGAACAGCAGTCAGAGGTGGCTCCCTTTTGTTAGTCAGGGAATCTATTTTTAGACGAAGATACTCTCTGGCTCTTTTCAGTAGTTGGTTGTCAACAAAGTAGTTTTAAGTGAGCTTTGAGTTCCAAGAATGAGGTATTTTCCAGGGAACTGGAGCAAGTTCCTTTGCCTTTTGGTCCTTCAGGGTTAGCCTCTGAAAAACAGGGCTCATGCAAGTGAGATGCCAGCCTGAGCTATATTATGGTAGTGTTCTAAAACTATAGGAAGGTCACTGTCCTGTTTTGGAGCAGTACAATACAAAGAGGACGGGGTTGGGGCTCAGAGGCATCTCTAATTGAGGCCTTGACACTTAATAGCTGGGACCCTTTTGCAACTTCCCCACTGCGCTCCTGCTGTCACTGATTCTTGATTATTTTCACCTATTCATCGACAATTTCATACACAGATATAATGTATCTTGATCACATCTGTCCCAAATCCTCCCTCTACTATCCTCAGATAACCTCCAATACATTTAACAGTCTTGTACCTTCATGTCTTCTCTTTACCTCTTTAAAAATTTTACATAGCCAACTGAGTCTAGTAAGGACTGTCTACATGCAAATCAGTATGGGACCATCTACCAGAGTATGGGTAGCCTGCCAAGGGGACACACTCCAGAAGGAAGGAAAATGATCCCCCCCTTTCCTAGAAGGCATCAACTGCCAATAGAGAAGCCTCATAAACCCTCCCCAATCTGTGATGGAATGTCAAGTGACTAGATTTTGTGCTGGCAATCACAACTTCCATGTGCTACAGCCATGTTGTGTCCAGGAAACAGCATTTCACAGTGCTCTTCTCCGTCCTCTGGCTCTTCAGTTCTTTCTGCCTCCTCTTCACCATAGCTCAGGAGTCTGGATGGTGATAGCCTAAATACCCCACCTAAGGCTGAACACCGATCTGCCACTCATTTTCAGCAATGAGCAGTTAGGAGTTAGCATTGGCTGCTGCCCATTGTACATAGAAGGTCCTCTGATTAAGGTTGAGGGCAGCCCTAATCCTTAGGCATGAACATAAATACTTACAAGGCAGTTTGACAGCATGACCACTTACAGAGCATCAGTAGTAGGGGCACTCACCTCCAAGCTCCTTGATGCTTCCTTTGTAAAATAGAAAACTTGGTTGGCCTCAAAACATGCTTCTGCCATTATTAACAGTTTCTGTGAAGAATGTTGAGGTTTCTGTGCATTATCAAGCATGCTGTGGTGTATCATCCCCTTCCTCTACACTGTCCTTTACTCCAGCAACCACCTTTTTCTTGGTAACAAGATAGGGTATGATCTGTCTCTGATTCCTGTTATCTACCAAAAAAGATTTGCCAACCTGCATGCAATACATTTCCCATCGAGCAGCCTGTGCAATGTCTTTCTAAACCCAAGGGAGAGAGGGTGATGGCTGCCTTCAGATAGCTGGGACTGTGTCATGCGCTTGAGGTTAGTTTCACTGTGAGTAGATAGGAGGGGAAGACATGGGGTAGAAATCAGAAATCTTTAAGAAAATAATTTTTTAAAAATGTAATTAGCTGCTCAGGGATTGAGCTGGCCAGCTGAGTAGATCCCTCCAGCATGAGAGGCAGGCAGGCAGACTTTTGAGGTGTTTATCGAGGTAGGAACTTGAGCATCTCTTGAGGGAGGGAAGATGAAGTGTAGGAGATTGAAGGCCTCCAAGAACCCAGGAGTGTATGCTTGTGTGAGGTGCTAATTAGTATTTGCCTTACTGTTCTGGAGTCCACAAGGATTGGGTCACACCTGTCAAGGTGATCTGATATCAGTCTTCCCCTCAGGGTCTCTGTGCAGGTGAAGTGAGATAATCTGTGATGGCCATCTGCTACAGTACATGTGAACTACCCACACTAACTCCCTGGGAGCAATGTCCACCACATGTGGTTCTAAGGCTGTGGTCACAGGACCTAGCTTAGCTCATCTCCCGACCGCTCCTCCTGAGGGGCTGCCATCAGCTTTTTCTTGTTTATCTAGGAGTTTCCTGGGAATGTGCAGTGTCTGCACCCCACCCCTCCTGTTCTTCTCACACACCTCTCAGTAACTGAACTTTGGATCTGCTGGACAATTCCTGACCCAGGAACCTTTTATGTGGTCCTGTTTTTACTCAGTAAACATTTACTAACTGCCTATTGTATGCCACCAGGTCCTGCAGAGATGCTGGGATGTATTAGTGATAAGCATTTGTCTCTGGAGCTTAGGAGGTTCACAGTCGGGTAGAAAGAACAGAGGTGTAGACGGCATGACGTGTAATTCTTGAGATAGAAGGAACCACAGGAAGACACTTTGGACTGGCCTCTGGGAGGTAGGCATTAAGTCTGGGGGTGTCACTCCCAGCAGTAGTTTTTGAGTGGAGATCCCTCTTTAAGTCTAACATAGTCTCTTCAAATGCAAATGGAATTTATTTGGAAGAACACATAGATCCTAGGTTTTCTCACTTATTCTCCCTTTGGTGAGTGCATTTGGTAAACAAAGCATTAAGAACACAAAAACATGCAGTGTAACATCAAAAGGATTGTGTGTGTGTGTTCACACTACATCCTAGCCATCATAATCAGAACTTTTAGAACTGTATGTATCTTGCTGCATACAGGTTTGACAGAATTATTGTACCAAGTCCTTATTTTAAAGAATAGTGGGTCAAATAGGGAAAACAAATGTATTTCATGGAAAAAGAAATGAGATAAAACCTCATAATGGAAACAGAGCAGCCAGTGATGTGTAGTGTCAAGTCAAGACTTTGGACCCCCCCTACAGACCTGCCAAGCAAAACTGAAATGATTTGGACGTATTGGACCTTCTAAGACCAGGACCATTAGGGAACAGTAATAAATCAGTCACTCTGCAGCCTAGGCTTAGCCTTTTATTCTATGTGCCTCGGCCTTGCTGCTACCTAATGGCCTGCTCATGTCCTTCCCCATAGGAAGTTCAGGGTCTCTGAGGAACAAAGTTCCTCAGGGTAATGCTCTGTGGTAATCCTGTCAGAAATAAGGGGCTGCACTTCTGCTTTTAAGCTTCCATGCTTGCCCAGTCCCACCCAGTGCCAGGTGCCTTCGGTCATAAGGAATCTTAGCATACCAACTTGCCCTTTGTTGCGATTTTGTCTCTTTTTCGTAATAGGTTTTCTAGCCAGTCTGGGTTCTGTCCTTGTCTCCTCTCTGTGCCTGGGAGGATTCATTTCCTGGGAGGGATGTTTTGCTGTGGGTAGACTGAAGCGAGATGAGAGTGACAGGGATTGAGTAGGGATTATAGACCCATCAGCTGGAGGCCAGAGAGAAATGCTTGGACGAGAGAAGGGGATTAATTTTATTTTTGTTCCTGTGAGCTTGGGGGAGGTTAGGACACTGGTAGGAGCGGGTCCATGCTGTCCTCTCTCCTCCCAGTGTTTCCTTCCAACCCTAGTTGCTCCTGCTCCACTCCCCAGGTTCATTCTTCACCCACAGTCACTCTCTAACTGCATCCTAGGATGCTTTCCATCCAGTCATGCCTCTGTGTGTTGGTTTGCAACTAAGTAAGTTAGTGCTTTTTAAAAAGATTATTACTACAGAGTGGGTTTGAAACCACCCTCCGCTAACTTCTTTTTCGTTCAAGACAGGGTCTCACAGTATAGTCGTGGCTGTCCTGGAACTCACTATGTAGAACAGGCTGGCCTCAAACTCAGAAAGATCTGACTGCCTTTGCCTTCCAAGGACTGGAATTAACGTCATGTGCCACTGCACCCAGCTTTACTAGCTTCTTAGTGAATTACACTCTGTATTCTATATCATCCGTTTAAGTAAGACTGGTGACTCAAATACTAGCCATGTGAACTATAGCAAGTATTACTTATTGAGCATATTACTTTTGTCCAGGACTTCAGTTCCATGCCTGACACACCTTCTCTTCAGTCATCTACAAGATGAGGTGGTAGTAGTGTATGTCATTTCCCTTTTACAGGCGAGGCATGTGAGGCTTGGATTTGACTGACATCCCACACTGTATCTGACCACCTTCCACTGTACTGTGTATCCATCCCCTCCCCACAAGCAATAAGGCTTCTGGGGCCCCAGTACCCAGAATTCTGCATGGTAGTTACATATTATACTTTCTCTGCCTGCTGGTCTGTATCAGCTTGGCTTATACACATCTCTTATTCATATTATACTGGCATTTCTTGTTCCACTCCCTGTGGTTGGTGAGGCTTTACCTGACTGGAGTAGAACATTTACTCAGGGAATCTATAACTTTGTTAATGAAGCCAAAAGTCACTGGCTCATCCCCAAGGTGGATGAATTCCAAGGCATTTCCCTTTATTAAAATTCTAGTTCAGGATGTCACAGAGACTGTCCTTGATCAGAAAGACAATGATAGACAGACATGGAGATAACCTAAGTGAAATCCCAGCTACCTCATTTTTTTCCCTGGTAAAATCCTTTTCATCCTGTAAGGCTGGGCTCTGGTGTCATCACTATGGGAAAGCTTCCCAGGCTGAATACATTAACCCTGCATCCCACGACTTCCACAGATTCTTTATTTTGTTGATACAAATACAGTTATATAGCTAACATAGTATTATTGTTGTATTAGTTTGCAATTTGTATACTTTGTGTGTGTGTGTGTGTGTGTGTGTGTGTGTGTGTGTGTTTCAGTTTTCAGTTTTAGAAGCTGTCAGGTCTTGGGCCCTGGAAAAAGGCAGGTCACACACACTTCATTTCTTTCTTACCCAGTTGAAGAATAGAAAGCTGAACACCAAGCCATTCAGTAGGTGAACTGAGTTATGCTGTTGATGAATTTACTTTCAGATTTTGTAGTCCCAGACAGACTTTATCTCTAGCCTCCTTTATGTACAGCCCCACTTCAGCTTTTTCCCACCACT